AATATAATGGAAAACAAGCTGTTTACCTGCAAAACTATTCTCTTCTTCAGCAGCACTAACTGATGACCTCATATTCATATTCTGAATATGCTGACCGCTATAACCCTGAATTCGGGTACGATTTGCAGCGGTCAACTCATCACCACTCGAGGCCTCTTCATTTGCGTAAGACTGCTGTCCCAGTCGTTGAGCGAACGCGTTCTGTCTATCTGAAATAATACAGACAGTAAATACGCCAGTACGGCAGTATACTTAGCAAGCTGTTTACCTCATAACCATCAAATAAGAGAAAATAAAACCCGATTCTGTAATAAACCGAAATAAAAGAAATTTTAATTATTAGTAACGAAAAATACCAATCATTAAGCACTAACTAATTGCGGGAGGCATGTACTGTTGCTCAGAAGCAGTTAACTGTTGCTCTGGAGAACTAAGCTGCGCATGTTGCAATGTCTGCTGCGAAGTATATTGCTCAATAGACCGATTTCGTGCCTCCGGTGACTGAGGGATTACGGATTGAACAGATGTAGCAGTTCCAATTATTTGCATTCGCTGCAGGGGGGTTACGGACTGGACTACATTTGGCTGAACGGCAACACGGGAATCACGCTGAAGAGCCTTCTCTTCTGGCTCACCAAAGACGCCAGGAACGTGATTTGTAGATATTGAAAGTTGTCGAGTGCTCCGCGATTCAAGATTCGTTTGATTAGAAACCCCACTCTACAATAAAAAAAAAGTTCAAAGAAACGCACGACGAAGTAGAAGAAATGTCACCCCACACTGGCTCTCAAATGGATAAATAGCCTACAACAGAAGACAGGCAAAAATCCATAAAACAGAACCTGCCGTCCTCGCCTAACCCTTGTCTGTAAAGAATCTGCTGCCTGAGGTGATGACTCATTATAAGAAGAGTAAGAACTTGAACGACTTGACAAACGACGCTGAAAGCAACAACAGTATTAACATTTCGTAGCCTATTTTCAATAGCTGAGTTCAAGTAAACAAGACTTATTATTCGAAAACAAAACCACATAGAGCATTAAAACGTATTCCAAACTGACTCTCTGAGAATGCTGGGAAATATATCGTTCATCTCCCGACTGCCTCTGCTCGTCCTCTACGAAATACTGTTGTTCTCCAGATGCTGGGCATTGTTCATGAGGACCTTCACAATAATATTCCATCCCTTGATTTTCATATGGAACATAATTCTGAAAAACAAATTATCTTTCGCCATCAAAGAATTAGCCGTTGCGACCACAAAAAAATATCGCTAAATAATAAGCGTGAAAGCCATAACTTTTCTTCACAATTAATTCGAAGCTAAACGATTATGATGAACGATAATCGCATTAGTTACAATAATCTAATCACTAAAAAGAGGAATAAAATGAACTGAGTTAGCAAAATAAAAATACGGTGCGCAGTTAAAAAAAGATTTACCGCTTCAGAAGCTCTGTTAACTGCTTCTCTATGAGCACTTTCAACAATACTTGTTACAGGACTTTCCGCCCTTATGCGTTCTGCATCAATTCCCATAAGGACAGGTTGTCTATTGCTCTGCGCAGAACTAGTAGTTGGCAGATTCAAACGTGAGTCCTCTTCCATGCTCTGTTGCTAAAACAACAAACATATATATATATATATATATATATATATATAT